AAAAAAAAAAAAAAAAGTAAAACTTATGATACTTGAAATAAAATAAAATTGAAATATAATATTATAATAATAATAATAATAATAATAATAACAACAACAACAACAACAACAACAATAAAAAACACACATACACAAAATACTAAAGATTTACTCAATTTAAATGAAATTCAGAAAAATTTAAACAGGGAAAAAATTATTTTGGGAAAAAAATAATAATATAACATGACATAGAACAACTTTACATGATGACTGAGTGATATGATGCTTGAGTGTGTTTACTCCCTACCAGAGGCAACAACTGAATACCGCTCGCTTTCGAATACTTCTCTCTTTTTAAAGGCCACTTTGAAATTTCTCCTTTAGTTTTCCCCACAAAAATACAGCATAACACTTTGGAACGAGGTAAATGAATAAACAAGTTGAATAATTAAAGTCCGGATTTTCATTTTCACTAGTCCCACTAGTTCAAATATTCTGTATCCGTAAAAGATGGCTTATGCCTCTAAAGTGAACCTGGACGGAATTCCAGGCCGTCAAGTTTCCTGTTAGTAAAATTCTCCGAAAACAATTCTGCCAGTGTTTTCCTCGGAGTGAAGCTAAACCGCTGTTAATCTGTAATGTGTTAAACCCGTACCTGCCAGACTCCATTCATTCATTAAAGAGTGTAAAATGTCACACTTTCAGTCACAGACTCGGTGAACATGGATGTGTTCAGCTATTTCTCAGAAAGGGCTACAGAATGTATTTTACTCCGCTTGTATCGTGCAGATTGACTGTCATTAGTTTATCTTGGTTATACTGCAAGGTTATAGGTTACGAAATCATGCAGCTTTCCTTAACGGTAATCTCCTGTATGAAACGGCTCGATTCAGAATATTCTGTTGCCAGAATACTGGCAAAACTCAACAATCTTACAATCAAAAATAAAACTTTATGAAGAAAGATCCCCGTCACTCGGTATCGGCAAGTACCAAAAATAAAAGTATCGGTATCGGGTGAGTACTGGAAAAAGTGGTATCGGTGCATCCCTAATTACTATTTTTTTTTTTTACAATCAAAAAGGGTGTTTAATCAGTGGAATTTGGAAAACTTTAACAATTTACTCAAGAGTGTAAAATGTCACACTTTCAGTCACAGACTCGGTGAACATGGATGTGTTCAGCTATTTCTCAGAAAGGGCTACAGAATGTATTTTACTCCGCTTGTATCGTGCAGATTGACTGTCATTAGTTTATCTTGGTTATACTGCAAGGTTATAGGTTACGAAATCATGCAGCTTTCCTTAACGGTAATCTCCTGTATGAAACGGCTCGATTCAGAATATTCTGTTGCCAGAATACTGGCAAAACTCAACAATCTTACAATCAAAAATAAAACTTTATGAAGAAAGATCCCCGTCTTGGGCCTCTTGGTTGTTTTATCATCCAAACGGATCATAGGTCCTGCCAATCAGAAGGCATTGTGAGGTAGCCAGCCAATGGCATGTCAGAGTCGCTAAGGGGGCGACAACACAGCTGCACTTCACACCCTGTCTTCGCATTCCAGAGCTGAGCATCGCTACGATACCACAGCAAGAACGCTCACGGACCAAACCACTAATACTCAAATACAATCCCAATGACTTTATATGGGCAAGCACAACAGGCTCCTAGTCTGTCAGCCTCGATTTAAAGCTGAGAAAATACATTGTCCAGCTGCTTATGCAGCAATTACACTTGTCTCGCTCCACAAAATGCTTTTAACCTTGTTCATGTTTCATTTGTAAACTGAGCTTTATGAGGGTATGCAACAATAAAAATGTGACAACTAAAAGATATTTATAGGGCCCTATGAAACTTGTATTATTTTTTCTCAATTTCGTTTTCTGAATTCCGTTTCAATGGATACATTCTTAATTGAAATAACGAAACTTACACAATTGAACAACAATTAATTAAAAGTCTAATACAAATGACATTTTTGGGCCCTATGAAATGTTTTATTTGTACATTTTTCTGGATTCTGTTTTAATGGTTTCATAAAATCTTAAAAAGCATGCCTAAACGATTTAAGTCCTAAAATGGCAACCATTTATTTATTTAATTCTTTATTCATTTTACAATAATAGGGCCCTAAATCTGTGTGGTCTGTTTCATTTTTTTCTGGATTGATCTTGAATGCGATTGTTCGCCCAAAAATGAAAATTCCGTAATTTTATGAAGCTACAAGAATACTACAAGAAAACAAAGCAAAGGAATGCACATGTATGCGTCATTGTATTATCATGAATGTGCATCAAAGTCTGACATGGACGAGAAGAAATTGTTGAATAAAGTCATTATTTTTGTTTTCTTTGCACATAAAAAGTATTCTTGTAGCTTCATAAAATTAAGGTTGAATCACTGATGTCACATGGACTATTTTAAAAATGTCCTTACAACCTTTCTGGGCCTTGAACGTGTCAGTTGCTCTCAGATTTCATCAAAAATATCTGAATTTGTTTTCTGGAGATGAACAAAGGTCTTACGGGTTTGGAATGACATGAGGGTGAGTAATTAATGACAGAATTTTCATTTTTGAGTGAACTACAGTATTTCTTTAAATATTGACACAGCCGTTCAGGATCCACCCATTTTTAAAAGCCTGTGCATTTAAAGCAGTAGATGACAAAACTACAGCATGTTTAGGATAAACTTATCTTATTGTGTGTTGGCATGGATGCTAATATAGTTATTGTTTTTATTATTATTGTTGTTCTTGGTGTGAATGGGCCTTTAATCTTTGATTTGGTTACATGGCTGTAATGAATGGTCAAATTGCTGTAAGAGAAAAAATAATATATAAAAAAAGCTAGTATAAATGCACAAATACACGATGACCCCCTAATTTGTAACCAGATAGCTCTGTATGTGTTGGACAGAAAGCAGGTCACTGGGTCCGGTCTCTTAAACAATCACCCAGTCACAATTAATCTTCAGGATACGGCTCAGCAATCTCAGGAATGCAGTCTTTAAAAACATGCTGGCATACACACGCTTCAGTGCACATGCACTATGATACAATGCCAACACACGCAAAGTGCTAGAAGGAAAAGCAAAGCACCTCCACAAACTAGCTATTTTGTCCTTTGTGCACTGAAGTCGTGTTGAAATTATGTGAATTTAACCTGCGAGTTTATCCTGCTTGCCTCATGTAATAAGCTCCCACTAAAACACAGTACTTAATCATTAAATGTAATAAGCATTTTCATATGTAAATAACATTCAGACTCTGTATTTGAAATTAATTGCAAGCTGCAAATACTGCTAAAAGAAAAAAACACAAGAAATGCTATTTATGTATTACGATTTTCAGCTAAGTTTAATGGTGCAACAGAAAAATATTTAGTAGTGCAAAAGTCGATTTATATCGCAACAAACTTTCGCACAGCTGGTGCATCTGGCACCTAGCAACGATGCAGAACACCCTACCACCTAGCAAGTTAGCAACCACTCAGCATAGTGCAGAGGAAAATCACCTATAACTTGGGAAAACGTAGAAAGGCAGAGCATGTCATGTTAATGGCTATTGATTGCCTGAAAGTTTGACCTTTGTAAAGATCACTAAACGTAATCTTTTCTTAAGGGAAGAGAGACTGACTAACATCGAGTCTTTTGTAGTCTTGCCCCCCTCCTCTACTGCAATAATGGGCACCTGTTGATCTCAGCCCCCTTATGGAGACGCTCAGGCTGCCAAGAGCAGATAGAAGAACATCCTTATGATCATGACATAATACCTGTTCAAAGGAGAACGTTATAATTTGCTAAATATGCTCAAAGGAATCAGCATGAACAGCTAGCAGAGATGTTGCATTATTTATGGCCTGCAGTACTGCAGCTGCTGTGCAGGAACGGATGACAGGAACAATGCTGGAAGCTGTCAGCAACTCATATAGGCCTACTGCACATGCAGTACAGATACTCTCACACATTCCTTGCAATTGCCTTTTTTTCCATTCCTGCACACACATCCACACAACACTGGCTCAACAGACAAGTTCCTGCTTTGGTATGGGAACAGATATGGGAAAATACTGCATTTTAAGCAAACATGCACATTCTGTCCTGAGTGATTCCTCTCATTCTGCACACACAGAGTTTGGTAAATTGTAGAGAACTTAAGTAGTGTATAGAGAACTGAAATGAAACATCACAATAGTGTCCAATAGTATCAGTCCAGAGAGAGAGTACTGCAAAGGCACCGATATGGTTTAAGCAAAATTAAAGATCGACAATATATTGTACAAAATCTGACTGAAACAAAGTTCGTTTGGAGTTCATTTTTGGACTTTGAAACAGCTTGCCAAGTGAACTTTCTGGAAAAGTTTGCTCCGGCTGGTAAACACCTTTGAACTACCATTAGTCTGTAGTAATTGTGTGTTGGTCAGTGTGCTCCACCGTCTTTAACAAGGAATTCTTAAATT